CTGGCATCAACAAGGCATTTCCGCCCACAGAACTGCCGCTCACTGGATGTTTTTTCTTTTTCGGACCATTCTCTGTAAACCCTAGAGATGGTTGTGCGTGAAAATCCCAGTAGATTAGCAGTTTCTGAAATACTCAGACCAGCCCTTCTGGCACCAACAATCATGCCACGTTCAAAGTCACTCAAATCAACTTTCTTCCCCATACTGATGCTCGGTTTGAACTGCAGGAGATTGTCTTGACCATGTCTACATGCCTAAATGCACTGAGTTGCCGCCATGTGATTGGCTGCTTAGAAATTAAGTGTTAACGAGCAGTTGGACAGGTGTACCTAATAAAGTGGCCGGTGAGTGTATATATATGCTATACTGTATATATGTATATATATATATATATATATATATATATATATAGATGAAAGGGCCAAAGCCGGCGTTGCGGTGCCACCAGCTTGGGCCCGCTGCTCGCAGCTATATTTTATGAATTGATGTCTTCAGTTTTACATGGTTAAATAATTGGTAAAAATTCTAAATGTATTTGCTGTGTGTGTGTGTGTGTGTGTGTGTGTGTGTGTGTGTGTGTGTGTGTGTGTGTGTGTGTGTGTGTGTGTGTGTGTGTGTGTGTGTGTGTGTAAAAAGTGTGTGTAACACTGAATAAATGCTGATTAATAAACGAATGCAGTGCGTTCTTGGCCATATAAACAATACAATCCACTTTAACCGTTTGAATTTAGAGGGTTTATTTGTTTTACAGCAGAGAATTAAAAAAAAAAAGAATTTAAAGGCCAAATTCAATCTGTTCATTATATAAAGCGATGATCGATTCTCTTCTGAGAATTTTGGTGAATCAGATTTCGTTTAAAATGTCTTAATTTGTGTTCCGAAGATGATTGAAAGTCTCACAGCTTTGGAACGACATGAGGGTAAGTAAATTATAACATTTTATTTTCTTCATTTTTGGGTGAACTATCCCTTTAAAGGGACACTCCACCCATTTGCATTAAGCTTTACATTGTTAGAAACCCAGTCATACTATTGAATGGTCGTGCAACACTCTCATTTTCCCCTGAGACGAGAGAAATCCGCTATTTACCTTTTTCACTTCGCGTTTCCATTACCCTTCAAATTGCGCAAATTGAAATTGCGAATTGAAAATACGCTCAATGGAAACACGTCAAAAACTCCCATTTATCGCAAAAAAGTTTTTACGCTCGCATTTTCAGGCAATTCGAAAAAGGAATATTTCGCAAAACTGCAATGGAAACAGTTTTTGCGCATTTACAGTCACCTGACTTAGAAAACGGGTTTGGGGTCCGTGTATACGCAAATAATAATAATAATTTTTATTATAACATTTATTAGGCTACATATTTAGAAAGCAATTCGACAAATGTCATTCATAATAAAGGTTAGACAATAATAATACAGGGCTAAGATTATCACAAATAAACACAAGATTTTTACGCATATCCAAGGCTATGCCAAAGAACGTATATTGCTATGCGGAGTGTGGAGCGCGCTCTGCAATGCAGGGAGGCGCGGGCGCGAACACTTGCATTTTCCTATCAACATGGAAACAACTTAAAATTATTTCTGGCCATACAGAAAATAATAATATATTATTCGCAACTACTTTTATTTGCGTAAACTCAAAATAACAAGACAACGTTGTGCTTTTGTAAAATAAAATAAAACAATCAGGCGCGGTGTCATGGTCTCCGTGAACTGGAGCGCGAGAACTATCTAGGCTAAAGCTTGAAATGTCCGCTTTAAAACGAACAAATTCGAATCGAAAGCAAATACCTTCTGATTATGTAGGCTAATCCGTATGAAAGATGCATTTCTCTCTAAAGATGCATCCATTACAGCGGAGATGGAGATATGTTTAACCGACACTGGTTTAGAAAACACTAGTTTATTAATAAACAATTAAAATGCCTCGTTATTTTTTCAGACACATTTATTATTATTAGCCTACACTGTAAAACCTAACAGTGATATTTACTCAATTAAATTGAGTTCCCTGCACTCAAATAATACTGAAACTTGATGTGGCTTGAATGACTGAAACAGAACTCAAACTGAATGAGTTATAGAATATTTCTAGATCCCAGAATGATAATTGAATAATAATTGTATAGTTAATTTAATTAAGCATCAATTAAGTGACGATTGCTCATTAGTGATGAACACCTGCTGTTAACAAGCAGAATCACTGAGGGAAAGAGAAACACAAGAAATACAAGGTTTAAGGTCACCATGATGGAGATCAGCGTTTGCTTTAGTTGGGCTCGTTTGAGTACAAGTTTTTCTTTGGCTGCTGTAATTGAGTGTTTATGAAACATTTGTTATGGCACAAAAGTCAAGGAAAAGATTATGGTCAAGGTTTGATGATGACAATCATCACTTAATGACTTGATTCACTGATCACATTCAGAGTCTAATCTCTGATTATATTATTAGTTGTATTTGAAAATAGATTCTACAACATAAAAACTAGCTGTTATGACTATACAATAGTATGAAGGATTTTACAGAAAATGTAATTCATTACCAAAACTAACACAGACATCAAGAATCAGCATATGAATCGCAACAATGGTGACCATTAAACAACTATTCATACTGCAATGCATGCTGGGTACAACCATAATACAAACCTTATCCATGGCTCCCGCCATGCATTGCAGCATGAATCGTTTTTTAATGGTCACCATTGTTAAGATTCATATACTGATTCTTGATGTCTGTGTAAGTCAGCATGAGACCATAGAGGTTTTTAAAATCTGATTGAAACAACAATGGGCCTTGCAGCAGAATCGCAGTTCTTTTATAATGAATAATACAAGTTACATATCACCTGTTAATCAGAGATTATTCTCAAGAAAAGATCAGAGAATCAAGACACCAAATGATAATTCATCATTCCATAAATCATCATTAAAACAAAAATTTCTTTTGGCTTTTGTACCATAATAAATGTGTTATATAAACACTCAGTTACAGCAACCAGAGAAAAAACTGATCTTATAAAGTCAAGGGTCAAGAGCCCAACTAAAGCAAACACTGACCACTATCATGGTGTCTTTAAATGAAACTCAATAAATCATCTTCATCTAAACCTCTGTACATTCACAATAAAAACTTCTGTAGACGCATGATAAAAGTCAAACTGGTTAGTAATAAGTGAAGCTGGTAATGATGTTTGTGGAGTTGTTCAATCCTCCTCTGCTGAGATCTTGAGAGATTTAAACATATTTTATCTTCAGTTGATTTCATCTAATGTTGTGGTTGGAAGTCAGTTGTAGTTCTTGTGTTTCTCTTTCCTTCAGTAATGTTAACAGCAGGTGTTCATCATTAATGCTCAACAATCACTTAATTATTCACTTAATTAATCACTTAATTTCTTGACTGCAATATCTACTTTTAGTGAACTCAACTGAAATAATTTCAGAGTACTCATAACTATTGTTTTTTATAAACTTAAATGAATTGAGGTAATCGGTTTCCTCAAATGAAATGAGTTAGCTTAACTCATTGGATTTGACTTTGTGTGTGATATTGTGAGCTAGCAGTAACTGCAAGTGCTCTGAGTTCATTTAAAGTTTGTCATTTCACTGTTTTTACTCAATAAAGTGAAGTTTCAGCTATATACAGTATTAAATGCAGTGTAAAGTTTAATTGTGTTTTAAGAAATCTTATTGTTTTAATGAACTCGAATAAAATAAGTTCAGAGTACTCATAACTATTGTTTTTTTTTAAACTTAAAAAAATTGAGGTAATCGGTTTCCTCAAATGAAATAAGTTAGCTTAACTTGTTGGGTTTTACAGTGTGGAAGATATCAATACAGAAATCACCTTTAAGACTTTAATGACTTTTGGGACATTTACACATAAGTGGGCAGTGGAATGGGGGGAAAACGCAAGGTCTTGAGACGTGTTTTTAAAAGCTGAACTTCTTTTCAGAATGTTTACAAACAATAGGCAAAAGATACTTCCGGGTGGCAGAACGCGAGCGGCTTCTACTGACTAACTGAAGAGATCCAGCCGGCTACTGTAACAGTAACATAGTTAAAAACATTGTTGTTGATAAAAGTTGAAACGATAATGAAAACGTGTTGTGTTTGGGGTTATTTTGCTTAGAAAAAAAGAGCTAGAGAGTATTTTGCTAATTATGTGTAGGTCTACTATATTACATATTTATTATATTTTTTACTTATATCATTAAACACAGTTGTTATTATGATAATAAAAAACGCATTATATTAATTACATTTGTTATTTTTATTACATTTTTACTGTCGACAGTTGGTTTCCCTTCCAAGCAATTTACTAGCGTTGCCATAGGAACGCTTCGGCTTTTGCCACCCGGAAGAACGTCTATTACTGTTGCGACGTCATGGTGAATTGGCTTTATGCACAGCTTCACTACTTCCTGAACTTCAGCCAGCTCCTTTGTTTCCTGTCTGTCATTATTGGACAAACTGATTAATCCAGGTGTGCCTGGCCTCAGTAACAATAATCAGGCACACCTGGATTAATCAGTTTGTCCAATAATGACAGACAGGAAACAAAGGGCTGGCTGAAGTTCAGGAAGTAGTGAAGCTGTGCATAAAGCCTATTGTCCTATTGAGCGCCGCGTTTTTAGAACGCCGTCCGTCTAGGGCGCGTTTGCCTAGAAAATGAAAAAGCACGTTCTGTATGAACGGACCCTTACGGAAAAACAAAACTGCTTGAAAATAAGTTTGAACACAGATTTCCAGATGAAGCGTTCTTTAACAGATTTGGAAAGGTGTGCTGTCTTATCATTCCTCCATCTATTTGAAATCCACGGATCACCCTTCTGTGTTGCTGCTTGTTCATACACAAAAATACAAATGAATAATACAAATGAATAAAAGTATGGAAGCCCTTCTCACTTACTGATAATTTATCATTAATGTTATTCACATAGACAGTAAAATAAAAAAATTAAAACAAAATTAAAAAAGGAAGTGTCTCACTGTTTGCTGAGTTACTCGGCGCACTTCCAGCGACTGCCTGCAGAGGTCGCCACTGTCCAGCCTGAGGCCCAGCGGCCGATACTGCAGCTCATCCAGACCCAACGCCACAGCACAGAAACACAGCAGACCACTGCTGCACACACACACACAGGCCGTTTTTCAAAACCAAGAATGCAAAGAACGGACTTGTGTTCTTGGGGAGAACGCTCTTGCTAGTTGTTCTTGGAAGAATGAACTCACAAGGTGACGAGCACACAGAACGCTGCTGACAGTTTGAGACGATGTGTTCTTGCTGGTATTGCGCAATAATACCCCCGCACAGACGCCGTGTACAGTAGCCAAACATAACGAGAATTATTGACGATGACAGCCAGCCTTTATCGCCCAAGCCTACCCTCAGCTCGAAGGATTACTCTACAACTGTACACTACAATAATGTAGGCTATATTCATAACAATAAAGTAACTAAGTTATGAGCTTATGGAGATTATCACTTCCGAAAACGTTTGAGCACATTTTCGATTCGCCATCAATTTTCGTAAAAATGCCAATATTTGAAATCTACACAGTTGATTTCTCGCATTAAATGTTCTCAGAAGTGAATTTAGTGATGAAATTGCGTAGTACGAAATTGTAGAAAAACGACTTGACCTGCCTCTCCTTCCTTGATGCCGAAATGAATGCTGGGATATTTCTGCCGTCAAGTTCACACAAGGGGTGCTTCTCATTTCTTATTTGTGCATCCTTCGTTTCCTTTCCTCGCGTCTCAGCTCCACCCCTGCAGGATGCGAGGGAAGGCTGCAAGGAAAGAAAAGGAGGACGAAGGAAGGGGGGGAGTCCAAGATGGCGTCCTGCTAACTTAACTTTCGCCGAGCTCTGCTGACAAACTTTAATAACGGCATAAATATCACTTTTTAAAGTTACCTTTATGCAAATTCACCCACATCTATCTTTCTGCTTTCTCTGATATTCGAAATATGAAGTCGACCGCTGACAAAAGGAAAGATATGTCGCGTGTTTCGCGGCAATCTGACAAGATGGACTTTCACAACTATGTATCTGTGGAAGAAACTCTGCCTGGGGCCAGAACACCACTTCCAGATAGCCCAGCTAAACCTCCATCTAAGAAAGGCAAGGTGTAACGGGTTGTATATAGTTGTTAAATTCCTGCAAAAATGGGGACAGCGCCATCTGCTGGCGTCACTTGGTATTGCGCCACGGTGCTAAAAATAGCGAATTCTGGGTAATCCACAGCAGAACTTTTGATAACTGCTGTGGTAAGTCGCATGTTAAACGCTGCAGAGACAATAATAGCCTAAGTGCTTTAAATCTCACTACACAATGTTTTATTTCACTGTATTTTTGTTATGATGTAACTAAGAGATGAATGCTGTTTGTTTGACGTCGAGTGAGTCATAAGTTTTAGAGTTGAATGTTAAATGTAGCACATGTTGCATGGCTGCTGCTAATGCTATTCCTCCGTCTGATTTACCGTGTGTTGTGTAGGGCTGTTCTATTCTCTGTCTGCGATGTCATGCCATTCCTGATTCGCTTTGGTTTCTCCTTGTGCAGGTAATATATTGAATTTGATGTTTATTTTTGTTGTGTGAAAAATATATGTTATAACAGCAATATTCCTGTTGAAAACAATTTGCTGTTTTATATACTGTGTTTTCATATAGCAGAAGTGCTTTAGAAGCTGGAGATTTTATTTATTTTATTTTATTTCACATTTTACTGTGGAAAAGACAAAGAATTGTGAAACATGTATATTTGTACTTTTGTTAAAAAAAGAAGAATCATTCCACTATACGATCACATTTGGAACAGTTTAATAAAAAAGAGCAGAACTTTTGATAACTGCTGTGGGCTGTTCTATTCTCTGTCTGCGATGTCATGCCATTCCTGATTCGCTTTGGTTTCTCCTTGTGCAGATGTTCCACATACACAACGAGACTGATGCATAGAGGACCGTCACATTGGTGCCGTGACTGTGAGTGAGTGGACGTCTGCCTGCCATTGATGGACCGCTGTAGCTGTGGCTTCGTTCGGACATCGTGGACTGTAGTTTCCTGAAGAGGACATCTTTATGTTATCCTTTGCACATTAAAAGGATTCTAAATGCTCTGATTTTTTTATTCATTTATAATTTTGATTATTTTGGGTCAGTTTTCTCTTGTTAGTTGATCTGTTTTTTTGTTTTTGTTTTTTCCTGATCTTATTGTTTTGAAGTGTAGTCATAATGAGCGAAACAGGACTTGATTCGCCGGCTCGTACTCCAGCTTCTGTTGGTAGGGGGAGAGGTGTACTGCAGATACCTGCTTCCTTTCTTGGTAGTCCTGTTGTTGGCAGTAACGTTGCGTTAGGAGTGAATAGGGTTGACTTTTCAATTGATCCCCCTGACATTACTGATATGCGTAACCCACATAGGCAACCAGTCACTAGTTCAACTCCACACTCTGAACATGTTGCCCCCGACTTGTTAGATCAAGTAGGTTAAACAAAACAAAGCAGCAGATGTAGCCTCTGAATGTCTGAAGGAGCAAGGCAAATCATTTGATAATCCAAGAACAGAGATTGCACACATGTTCATCCGCCATTGTCCCAGTAAAGATTTGGCTCTGACCTTTCGATCCAAGTCCATTGACAAGTGGTCAGCCCATGAAGTGCAAGCTGTGTTAAATGCCCATAAATCAGAGTCCAGCTTCAAACCTGCTAGTTCGACATGTTGTGTTAGGACTGATAAGGCAAATGTTTGCAAAGTTGATGTTAATACAGCTTCTGTCGCTTGTCATGTCTCTGGATCACAGCAGTGTGGATCTACAGACCAGGCTAATCTAGAGAGAGTGATCGACATGCTGGAGAAAGTTTTACTGCGCAATTCATACGTACGACAGCCTAACTCAGGTCGACGCAATGCCAGACTCCCAAGAATTGATGGCTTAGATGCCTTACCGTGTGCTATCTGTAACGATGGAGCTCACTCTGCCCTAGCCCACTGCCGTGAGCATCGCCTGTGTTTTCAGTGCCTGTCACCCGGCCATTCCCGACGCAACTGTCCTGTGTCACGGGCTACTCTACCTCCGTCTAATCAGGGAAACTAACAGATCTGCGCGAGGGGGAGGGCAGTGTAGATCTAATTAGTCAGCCTCCCATTTGTGATACTGAGGATTATGAGTCTGTATACGAGGTACAAAAAAGTATTGCCCCTTCTGACAAGACTGTCATTTTTCAATGCTTACAGTTCCTATGACTGATAGTCTGTTCTATACCCCTGTGTCTGTCGAAAATGGTCCAACACTGAAAGCACTGATTGATAGCGGCTCTATGGCGTGCACCATAAGCGAAGCAGCAGAAGCTAACTTGTTGAAAGCCAATCCTAACCTGATAAAGACTCCAGCAGATAATGTCGTCGTTGTTGGATGTGGAGGTCATAGAGTTAACCCCAAAGGGATATATGATGTCACAGTCTCCGTTTATGGATGTAAAATGATGATCTCTGTTCTGGTTGTGACAGGTCAGAACTGAACAGAAGAAGACAGAAGAACTGATTCTTGGCAGCAATGCTATCAAACAAAAGCATGTTGACTTTACTGAGGACCACCGTCGGTTACTGGAAGTTGATGACCATGCCAAGCGGAGATGGGATGAATGAATCCTTTCAGTTTTTGTCATTACTCGCTAACACAGATAGGTGGAAAGGTGATAGTGTGCCAGACAAAGTGGGTACTGCCAAACTTAAAGGTAGTGTAACATTGCAGCCACAGAGTGAATATCTAGTTTGGGGTAAACTCCCTAGCAAGGCCATGGTGTCTGTGGGTAGTACCGTAGTCATAGAGCCCACTCAGTCTAACTCCAGGCCTAAACAGATCTTGGTCGGCCGAGTCATAGCACCATTATTTGGTGATGGCTTAGTTCCAGTTAAACTAGTTAACCCCACTAATCGCCCTATGACACTGAGAAGGAATGGAAAAATCGCTGATGTATCCCCATGTATTGCAGTAGAGGATTTCCCAGAGGTTGGAAGTGTCCAGTGTAACGTCCAGTCAAGTGCCCAGTCCTGTCACCTCCCCGAGCAACCTCTACAGTCAGAAGAGGAGTTGGCCAACATTCTGAGGGACTTGGGATTCAACGATTTAGACCTAAGTGCATGTGAAGTGTCTCTCGAGTGGAAGAACAAACTGTTCAACATCATCACAGCACATGAGTCTATATTCTTGAAGAATAAGATGGACTGAAGATTTTGTTCACAGGATCCGTCTGGTTGACGACAAACCGTTTCGTCTACCTTATCGCAGGATACCACCAAGTCACTATGAGAAGCTGCGGACAGCCTTGAATGAAATGGAGGAGAGTGGTATAATAAGAAAGTCTAACAGTGAGTACGCATCACCTTTAGTACTTGTGTGGAAGAAAAATGGCGACCTCAGGATCTGTAATGATTTCCGATGGCTCAACGCCAGGACAGTAAAAGATGCTCATCCTCTCCCACACCAGTCAGATGCACTTGCTGCTCTAGGTGGAAATGCTTTCTTCTCCACTATGGACCTGACATCCGGTTTCTACAATGTGCCACTATATGAGGGAGACAAAAAGTATACAGCATTCTCATCTCCATTCGGACTCCACGAATACAATCGCATGCCCCAAGGCCTCACAAACAGCCCCGCTACATTTATGCGGATGATGATGTCGATTTTCGGTGACAAGAACTTCACCAGTCTGTTGTGTTACCTTGACGATCTTTTGGTCTTTGCCCCTACAGAGCAGCTTGCACTCGACCGGCTGGAGATGGTGTTTTCCAGGTTGAAGACTCAGAATTTGAAGCTCTCACCAAAGAAATGTAATTTTCTGAGAAGGTCTGTGAAATTCCTGGGCCACATTGTAGGTGAAGACGGAATCTGTACTGACCCTGAGAAAGTTCAGGCCATCACTGATGTGCAAGTGTCTGATTTAATGGACTCCGATGGCGTCACTCCTTGTCCTAAGAAAATCAGATCATTTCTGGCTATGGTGTTGTATTATCAACATTTTATTGAGCAATGTTCAGCCAAGGCGAAGCCCCTCTTCAAGCTCATCTCCCAGCCAGACTTTGCTTTAAAAAGAGAGGGAGACATCCTAAAAAGAAAGTTG